GAGGCGGCCCGCGCTCGCGACGGCGGCGACGGCGTACGCGCGCTGCGGGCACCACGCGACGCTGTACACGGGGCTGCGGTCCGCGGCCGCGACGCCCGCGTTCGCGTCCCACGTCGCGACGCAGCGCCCGAGCGCAAGGTCCCACAGGCGCACGCACCCGTCGTCCGCGCCGGTGAGCAGCCAGGTGCCGCTGGGGTGCACGGACGCGGTGCGCACGCGCGCGGCGTGCGCGTACAGCACGTCCGTGTGCGTCGGGAACGGGCGCAGCTCGCGCGGCGCCGGCAGGCGGGGCAGCAGCGCGGCGGGGTCGTCGATGTCGAGGCGCTGGCGGCGCATGCGCGGCGCGAGGTACAGGTCGAGGCAGCGCTGGAAGCGCTCCTGCAGCGCGCCGTCGTAGCCGGGCACCTGGCGCAGCGAGCCGTACTTGGCCGGGAGGAACGGCAGCTTGCGGTCCTCGGGCGCCGCGGCCTCCCACTCGGCGCGCTCCTCGTCGTTGAACAGGTACTCCTCGGGCGGGTTGTACGACTCGACGTGCGTGGGCGGCGGCAGCTTCGGCGCGGGCATGTGCATCGGGTGGTCCGCGCGCGCCTCGTCCGCGTCGTTCCAGATGGCGTAGAACGCGGGGCGCTCCTTGCCCGGCGCATGCGCGACGATGCGCCCCTGGCGGATCGCACGCACGATCTTCATCACCTTCTTGTGCTCCCACTTGCTCGGCACAAAGCGCCGCTTCGGCTCGGGGCGCGCACTCAGCGGCATGGCGCTCTCGTGCTGCGTGAACCAGTCGGTGGCGGGCTCGTAGGCGTCGTACTCGACCGGGACCTCGGCGCGCTGCAGGCGCTGGATGATGTCGAGCTCCTCGAGGGTCAGCCGCACGTCCTGGCCGGTGCGCTCGTCGTGCGCCGAGAACCACGCGTCGCCGTCGCCTTCCACGCTCGCGAGGAACTTGTCGAGCTCGTCGCCCGTCGCAGGGCGCAGGACGCGCCGCCCGCCCATGTCGTAGCCAATGTGCGGCAGGTCGTCGTACCACGCGAGCGGTACGTTGCCGATGCGGTTCGGCACGTCCTCCGTGCTCGAGTCCGAGTCGTACTCGGGCTCGATCTCGGGGTACACGAGCCGCGGCACCCCGGTCGCCCGCGACACCTCGACGCGCGCGCGGTGCGATCCGTCGTCGTGGCGGTCGTCGCCGTACAGGCGCGCGGCGACCGCCGTGTCGATGCCCAGGCGGTTCGTCCGCGGCGCCGACTCGTCCGGCTTGCGGCGGGCACGCGCGACCATGCGCGCCAGCGCCGCATCGCCCTCCCGCAGGTCCTCGTCGTCGTCCTCGTCCGGCGACGGCGCCTCGTCAGACTCGACGTCCGACTCGTCCTCGCCGCTCACCAGCTCAGGGAACGCCTCGTCGTCGCCCGCGTCGGCCTCCTCGGCCTCGTCCTCCGCAGGCAGCGCCAGCGACGCCTCCGCCGGCAGCAGCTCCGGCTCCGTCGGACGCGCTCGCACACGCTCCGGCTCCGCACCAGGCTCAGCACGCTTGCGGCCCGGCACGGACGCGCGGCGCCCACGCCGATCGACGGACATGTGGAAAAAAAGGGCGGCTACGGACGGCGTCGTTTTATGCCACGTGGCCGTGCACCTACCACGCCTGCAGCCACGCGGCGAGGTCGTCGAGGTCGGCTGTGGCCGCGGGCGCGGGCGCCCACCCGGCCGGCGCGAGGCTCGCGAGGCCCAGCGACGCGTGGCCCTGCGCAACGACGCGCGCGTCGAGGCTCGTGAGTGGATCGCTCGCGGCCGTGCGGCTCGCGGCCGCAAGGTAGTCCAGCGCACGCTCGTTGGAGACCTGGTGCCCCGCGCCCGCCCGCACGTTGTGGCCGAGGCGCGTCGGGTGCAGCTCGGCGGCCGTGCGCGTCTCGCG